AGAAGAGGGGAATGCTGGAGGGGCGGAAAGAAAGTTGGAGGGGGAGAAGAGAGGGTGTATGGGGGATTGAAGAGTCATGTGGGTTTTTTTTTTTTATGGTGGATTCTGTTTCTCTTTGTTTTTTGTTATGCACAGTATATAAGTGATTGTATAAAATGAAAATGAAAATGAAATAAAAATTTTTTAAACTAAAGCATTTGTCTGACAGGGAGCCATTGAGAGGGGCCTTTCTTCCCCCAATACCCCAGAGTTATGTCTTAACCCCCCACCCTCAGCAGAGGTGGGTTCCTACTGGTTCAGACCGGTTCAGTAGAACCAATAGTAAAAATCGGGGCTAGCTCTCTAAACCCGTAGTACTGGCAGGCTGGCCACGCCCCCAAACTGGTCCCCTGGTCGCTGCTCACGTCCGTCGCATGGCAAGCTGACCGGAGCTGGGAAGCGGCTGGCTGGCAAAGAAGCCTCTCAGCCGCCTCCTTGAGTGCCAGAGGATCGGAGGCTTCTTTTCCACCCAGCCGCTAACCGCAGGGCGCCAAAACATCCTCCAGCCAGTGAGAAGAAAGCTGCACATGCACGAAGATGGTAGCAGCAACCAGAGGTCTTTTTGGCACCCCATGCCAGCGGTTGGGTGGAAAAGAAGCATCTCGGCTTCCAAGTTCAGCAGCAGGCTCGCTCCCTTCGCTTTTCTCCACGCCCGAGAAAGATCAAAAGGCGCAGAGCAGCAGCCTTTAAGGACAAAGCCGGCATAGTTGCCTAGAGGTAAGAAAATGAACCACTGAGGGAAGGAGCCCCCCGAAGCTGCCAACATTGCAGCCCCCCACTCCCTGCAGCTTGCAGCTCCAAGCAGAAGAGGTCCTCAGCTGTTGCGAAGAAGCAGCAGCTCTGGGTGTGCTACGCCCACTTTGTTCTCTTTGAGAGCCGCTTTGCAAACAAGGAGCTAAGGGAGTGCCTGCAAACTACCCACCGTCAGTGGGAGCAACCAATGCCGAAAACGCTGCAAAAGACAGGAGGGAAAAGGGGGGGGAGTTTGTGGTGGTGGTAGTAAACTTATTATTAAGTGCAACGTGAGAATGCGTCCTTCTCCAGCCTAGGACTCTCTGGGGGAAGGCAAAAATGGAGGTGTGACTTACCATCTGGAAACAAATACTATGCCAAAATGGGGGCATTTTTGCCTTACCCCAGACCTGCTGAGCACTTTGCAGGCTTCAGCAGGTCTGGGGTAAGGCAAAAATGCCCCCATTTTGGCATAGTATTTGTTTCCAGATGGTAAGTCATCTGTAATGTCAACCAAATATGATACACAGATGACTTACTCTCTGGAGAAACATATTGTGGGAGTAAGATACCCCTGGTGTGTGTGTTTGTGTGTGTGTTCCAGCATAACTCTGGAATGCCTGGCCCATTAAGGAGAGCGAGTGTGGTGTCCTAGAGGGGCAATTGTTTGTGATGTCACTTCCTTTGCAGTTTCCTCTGGAAAGCCAGCCGTGAAGTTCGCCCTCCAGTGGACCAATGTGGAAGCACCTGATGGATTTGGGGCAAAGTGCCAGGATTGTAGACAGGGTGGGAAAGAAGAGCACATGGGAGGGGAAAGAGAGAGGCCAGGGATGATGGGCATAGGAGGAGGAAGAAAGGCCCCTCTCAATGGCTCCCTGTCAGACAAATGCTTTGACGTTTATAAATACCCGGGCAACACCGAGTTATCAGCTGCTACTCTGTGTGTGTGTGTGTGTGTGTGTGTGTGTGTGTGTGTGTGTGTGTTTATGTTGATGTTTTTCACCATCTTCAAAACACCAGCCTGAAGATGGTGAGGGAGACCTCACTGAAACATTGCCAAAACAATCTCAATCTTACACGGGAAAAGACTCGAATACAACAAGACCAGCATATGTGTGTGTGTGTGTATACAGACACACACAAATATATATATATAGATGTACACATACACACACACACAGACTATTAACATATACTCATGCAACTTACTTTTGCAATCCATCCCAAGATCACTAAATATTTACCTTTTGTCCAACCCCCTTACCAGAGGGAGCCCCCTTGTTGAATACTGTGAAGCTGTTTACATGGCAACTCCAATGCGCTGTACAGTAGAAGCCATTTTACAGCAGTACAGTAGAAGCCATTTAAAGTCACAAGAGGGTGCATCTTAACAGAACACACACTCCAAGGGGCGTTAGGGGTGTCTTACCCCCACAGTATTTTTCTCCTAAGAGTAAGTCGCCTGTATACTAAGTTTGGATGAAATTGCTCAAGGCATTCCAGAGTTATGCTGGAACATACATACATACATCCTATTTTATATAGAGAAAAGAGAAGAGGTCAAGTCCTTCCCAAGGATATGTTGTTATTTTATGTATTATATATGTACGTTATTTGCCCTGAGCAGAGGGTTGGACTAGAAGACTCCAAGGTCCCTTCCAATTCTGTTATTTTATTATTATAAAAAATGATTATTGGGATCCATACAAGTTTCTTTATCGAATAAAAATGATGGTCAGATGCAACCTTTTTGGAAATATGCATCCCAGTCCAAAAAAGGGACAAAGGTTAGCAGGCCTAACAGGAGTTAGCTAACTTTCAAATCCCTTTTCTGTGCAATCACATTCAAACATATCTACAGCTGGCCAATTTGTGAACTGGGAAATACCCCTGGCAACTATGTGGTGAGTGCCCACATGTTTCTAAAAATCCAAATCTGCTCAAAAAGGTTGAGTTAATATGTGGAGAAGAGTCTCTGATGCAAGATTGTTTGTAAAATGAGTTAACTGTACCCCTCACTGTAATTTCTTACTGCAGCTTATTTCCCAGAATGCACTGAAAGAAGAAACAGGGTAACTTACCAGGGAAACTCTCACCCCTTACAGAATGGTCTGTGAAAGAAAAATCGCTATGCAGAAGATCAGCGCCTGCCTTGGACGTGACCGAGTTTTTCCCCAAAAATAGATTTGCTGCAGGGGAGGCGTCTGCAGCCGGCTGAGCCAGGTCCTGAGAAGTGCCTTCGGCTATTGAAGCACTTATTGCATCATCCAAGTCATCCAGGTCATCAATATCAAAATCATCTTTATGAAGCTTCTGCCCTCCAGTTGCCAAAGGACTCTTACTTCCCACATTGCTTATAAGTGGAACACTTTTCCTTCGGTTCTCTGAATTTGCTCCATTCAGTGTTGAAGGCCACCAATGTGTCTCGGCTTCCAAATCTGGATTTTGGAGTCCCGTTATTCCACCGGCTTCCCACTTGGGACAAGATATGCCTGAACTTTCCATGGCAGAAGAGGACGTGCCCCAGGTAGAATCTTTCATGAAAATGGATGGATTGGCACTGGCCCATCGTTGAGAGGGTGGCGGATGAAGGCCAGACAGGCGGGGAACGTCATCAAGCCGCTTGCCAGAAAATGGTCCAGAAGTAGAGGCAGCCTCTTGAGGAAGCGGGGAAGACGTTTTTCCCAGCTGAGAAGAGTAACTTCCATCGTGGGAGTCATCATAGTCAAAATTACATTTGTAGTTTATATTTAGAAATTTATCAGTACCGGTTCTGTTTCCATTTCTAGAATTGTTCAACAGTTTTCTTCTGTATACAAAAAAATATAACTTATTCTTTTAAATATTCCCAAATAAATTTGTTGTTACTGTCCCAGAAACTCCTCTTCTTAATCTTTTGCCTTACTTACAACTCACAACCCAATTTAGATCCCTGTCTATAAAACATAATTGACATTAAAACATCCCTTTGAGTGTATAAATATACATATACAGTACATACAATATATCTATCCTTAATAGCAATGTATTGTCCTATGGAATCTTTCCTGACAGAAACATTTTCAGTCAATACTGAAATTGAATAATTTCAACAATTCAATCAATACTCCTGACCCTCAACAGCCATGAATAATAAAACGTTGCCCCATTTTAAAAGTATGTTTAATTATTATTCACCCATGAGTTTCCTGCAGAACTATGATACTGTGGTATTACCTGATCATTAAGAACTCTCTTGTTCTACAACATTCCTGTTTCTCTAAGATTAGTAAGGAACAATTTCCCCCCTTATGGACTAGGCATATTTTCCAAGGTTGGACTCCTGTGGAGGTTTTACAGCCCTGAACTGAGTAGCACTGAAATTATAAGATACTGAATCCCGATGAAAAAAGGGAAATTATTTGCATAATTCTGCTTCTGAAATAAATATGGGCAGGATTCCATGTAGCAATAACCTGTGACAAAGAACTCTCTAGAAGTTATCGTGCATACATAAAAAACCTGGACTGCATTAAGAGAATCTCAGGGGACTGAACACTTTGCAACTTGGACAAACCCATCCCATCTTCATTTCTTCAGGTAAAGAAGCAAAGGCCCTCATCGCATTCCAAACCCCGAACAGACCTGCAATCTCTAAGCCGAAGCAGCTCTTGGCCACATAGCAGAGACTTCAGTTCTCTTTCTGGAATGGCATTCACCAGTTGACAGATCTCTTCCATTACACAGTGGAGGGACTGGCCTGAAATGTAACAGGGTCCAGTCACATATTTTGCAAGGCAGCAGCAGTGCAAAACTGGCTGACTATCATCAAAAGATTGTGGAATACGTCACAATGTTTTACCTTCCTTCCTTCGTTCGCTTCTTTTGGTCGTTCCTCCAAACTCTGGAAGTTGTTTCACCGAGAGTTCAGGATTCAATGTTGTCTCATCAGCTGCTCTTTGGGGAAAATGCCTAACAATGTTAAGAATCATTAAGAAATGCAGACATATAGCATGAAGTAGATACACTTTATACCAAATAGAATTTTAACGAGACAGTGATTTTATGCACACATCCACAGTATTCCTGTCAACAAAAATTGCATGTATTTCTATAATCAATGACGATTAGGAAAGTAAGGATGTAATGGAAATTAAATTTGAGTAAAACAACTGTATTGAAGTTTGAAGGTGTTCATTTTTCAATGAGTGCTTCTTCTCTTTTGTTTAAATACGACCAGCCAGAGAAATTATTTGATTTTCCAGATTTTGCAATAATGCACCTGTCACTAAAAGATGTATTGATTTATTGGGTTAAGTCGGTTAACAAATCTTTATAAATACAAATAATAAATCATTGATAGAATTAATCACTACACGTTGTTGAGAATTGTTTCCATTATTGCAGATTATCTGAACCGCTAGTCAGTTTCAGGCCTGAATATAGCATTGAGCGGATAGTGATCCTGGCTCTCCATGATCTCTCAGCACTGATCAAAGTATCCTTTGAGCCAGCTGGAGGGGAACCTTCCCAGCCCCCAACCCAGAAAGGCCGGGGAAGTCTGCTCTAGGAAGTATTTGTAAAGTCAGCTCTTAATGGCTGTATTTCCATGATCTGCCACTCCCTGGGGAAGCGTCCATCCCCACAAAGACTCATGAAGGCAGTCAGGTTGATTCACAGGAAGGCCAGTCACTGCAAAGGCAGGTGAGAGGTCACAGGAAAACATACCAGAGCACTCCTGGAGCTACAGGTAGCCCTTAACTTACAACCATTCATTTAGTGACCATTCAAAGTTACAACAGCATTGAAAAACATGACTTATGATCAATTTCTACACTTACGACCGTTGCAGCATCCCAATGGTCATGTGATCAAAAGTTGGCTGCCTGGCAACTGGCTCATATTTATGACGTTGCAGTGTCCCGCAGTCAACTGATTCCCTTTTGCACCCTTCTGGCAAGCAAAGTCAATGAGGAAGCCAGATTCACTTCTCTGCTTTATTATGTCATGCCTGCAAGCCATCTTTTCTTTTAGACTTCAAGCCTGCCACACTTTCTACTGTCTATTTTCTATTGTGGGAAAATGGGAGGGGGATTAGATAGAGTTGGGTGAGATGTAGCCATAACAACATTCTTCGTAGAAAGCCAAGGTCACCTTTGTCTCTGCACCTGGCTGGAACTGGATGGGAGGAATCTGCCTTTGTGGCAGTGGGAGATTGGACCATGGGATGTGGGGGCAGGATCTTGAACTTTCAACTGGGTGGGGAAATCTGGAAGCTTTCAGATTTGGGTTTTCCCAAATGTACCAACATGGTTCTCTTAATAAATTGGAACTTTGAGGAATCCTTTGCCTCAGACTCTGATTTAATTTTGGAGGCTATTTGGAAGCCTGATATATTAACTGAACTGCAGTAATTCACTTACCTATGGCAAGAAAGGTCATAAAATGGAGCAAACCTCACTTAATAAATGTCTTGTGCAGTGGTTAGAGTTCAGTACTGCAGGCTGCTTCTGCTGACTGCCTATAATTTGGCAGTTCAAATCTCACCAGGCTTAAGGTTGATTCAGCCTTCCATCCTTCCGAGATGGATAAAATGGGGACCCAGAGTGTTGGGGGCAAGAGGCTGACTCTGTAAACTGCTTAGAGAGGGCTGTAAAAGCATCAGGAAACAGTATATAAGTCTAAGTGCTATTGCTTACTTAACAGCAGAAATTTGGGGACAATTGTGGTGGTGAAGACTACCTGTCAAGAGGAGAAAGGGGGAAGCCTTCTGGATTCATCCCCTACCTGCCCCATTGTGATTTTGGGGAGGGGGTTGCAAATAAAACTACAGAAGAGCTTGATCCTATGCTGGCAGCTATTGGTAAACATCTCCATTTCCTCTGGGGATGTTGAGAGCCCAAGCTCACCCACCTAAAACCACCACCTGCCCTTTTAGAACAATTTGATTGTTTTTACCTTCATTGTTTTATCTTTAGGGAGACTTCTGCTCATTCACTCATGCAGAGCATTCAGATATAAACATACCAGCTATTTCCCCAAGGGGCCGTTCTAGAAAAATGCTGTCTTTGCTTATTCATACTAACCCTTAAGACAAATTCTAGTGTACCTAGTGGTCTTCAGCCCGAACGAAGCAGGCAGCATCTCCTCTTCTGGGGATGGGGGAATGAAGTCCACATAGTCTTCAGTCTCACTGAATACTTGAGGATCATCCCTTCCATCATCAGGTTCTTCATTCCCACTTAAGGGGAGGCCAGAATCATTTTGCCCTTTAACTAAAAAGAGTATATATTAAACAAAAGACCACTGGAAAATAATGAACATGTTTAATCATTAAAAATATAACATTAAATTACAACAGTAAGGGGTTAGAATGCAGTACTGCAGGCTAACTCACTGCTCACTCCAGGAATTTGATTCTGGATGGCTAAAGGTTGACTCAGCCTTCCGTCCTTCTGAGGTTAGTAAAATGAGGACTCAGATGGTTGGGGGCAAGAGGCTGACTCTGTAAATGCTTAGAGAGGGCTATAAAGCACAGTGAAGCAGTATATAAGTCTAAGTGCTATTGCTGTTGCTAATCAAATAAGGAAAAGCATTAAGTACATCTAATGATATTCTGTGATTAGATGTGTTGATTAGTGGGGACCCAACTCTTTTTAACATAGTCAAATTATGTGATAAGGAACAAGGTCAGACAGGGACTATGGAGAACCAGGTCCAAACAGCAATAGAGCTACAAGTTACTTGGTATGACCCCAGGCTGAAGGGGGCGGGGGCTGATTGGTTTCCCTAATGCAGTTGATGTGAAGCCATATGGCATTTGAGGTGACCCCCTTGGGAAGGAGCACCATACCTGCACAAACACCATCACCTTGACTAGCCCTGGAAAATAAGCAGCATTGGGGCTGCTTAGCTCTTAGTTTGGGACCTGATGAGGAATTTCAAGGTTGTATGTTAGACCTGGAAGTTGGAAAATGACTTTCCAATGATTTCTCCTCTTCACATTCTCCATTTGAAACAATCTCTTTGACTGGAATTAAAAGGGTCAAGACGGGGAACAGGCAGGCTGCCTCCCTCCCTCTTGTTGCTTATGAGGCATTTGTATTTTCCTATTTGTACAAATATATAAACATCATTACATTTTTCATCCTCTCTTCCCGTGTTAGATATCTTTGGCTTGCTGATAGAGGGGCTTTTTACAGTCTTTCTATCGTTGGCAGAAGGCTTCTCTCGAAATGGTACAGACTGTCGTGGACATATTTTCTGTGGTCCAGTTGTTTCAAAGTCCTCCATGTCTTCCCAAATATCAGTAAGGTCAATACATGAATTGTTTGAACAATTATGGTCTTGGGTGGGGATCTCAGATCTCCCCACCTTGCAGTCCTTATCACTTTCCTTCACGGAAGAGATAAGACCATCTAAATTCTTGACCTCTTGATCATTTGAATGGTCTCGTTTTCCTTCTTGAACTTTCAGTGTTGTTTCAAACAGCACATTAATTTTTGTTTGCTTATTTTTAATACTGCTTTGTTTTTCCAAAGAAGAATTGATATTCTTGTTCTTCAAGGCCAAAGGTTTTCTTTCACCCAGATATCCTGGTGAGCAGTCATCAAGGCAACTCATCTTTCTGAATATAAATTCCCTGCAAAAATGGGTAAGTTTAGATTTTAGCCAGTCATAAATGATAGAACCCTTAGAAGCCAGTCAGATCCAGCACAAGGTAGACTCCAACAAGGTGTCCCTTTTGCCACTATTTTACATGTTTGAATATTCTAAGAAGCTATGCTATTATGTACTTATTCCACAGCTACTTCAGCTCTGAGAAAAATGTACAATACCAGATGTTATTCAATTGCTACTACTATATGCCAGCATTTTATGGCAAAAATCAGAACGCCATTTCTAATGTCCAGAAACCTCTTCTCTAGATTCATTGGCAGCATATTTATGGTTTTAAATGTTTATTATTAAATACATTTTTATTAAATAAAATACATTTATTGACCTGGATTCATGGTCAATAAACTCTGGAATAATTCTAGGGAGGCTCTACTAACATCCTGCACCTAAACTATGATTAAATAACTCTTGTAGGTTCATGGAATACATTTTGCCTTTGTGCCCTCCTGGATGCCATCATGATAAAAGTAGACATTTCTTTTTCTTTTTTTTAAGGCTGACTACTTCAAATAGTGTAGGTAATGTATAATACAAATACACAATAAATCAAGAAGAAGAAAAACCCATTTAAATGCAAATATATAAACACAAATGATAAAATGACAACAAAACCACCACTGGAGGGCTCCAATTAACTGGCCCCTTATCAGCACAGTTCCTGGGTCCTAAAATATGACAAGGCTAAGCAGAAGGAGCTGGGGCATCTCCTCCCTGGACAGCATGTGGGGCGAGCAGATGTTCTTGGGAGAAGGTGGCCCCGCAAATAACCAACTCCTATGTCAGACATCTGAAGTGTTTAAACGTTTGGTTGTTAGAGCATTGCAGATACTCATTCTGTTCTTTAAATGTCCTACAATCCTTTAAATGTTCTACAATCCCCCCCAAAACAGGCCCTGATTACATCCACTGTCCAATCTATGTAGCATGTTATTTTGTATGCTTCCAGTGTTCTGATAAATTGTGACACACTATACATGTCATAAACAGATATTTCAAAAGGATGAACAGGTAGTTCTCAGGTTACAAAGAAATTGGGGTTGGGGTTGCCACCACTAAGTGATGCGGTTGTAAAGCATGATGATACATGATCACATCACTTAATGGCAATCCTGGCAGTCCCAGTTGCCGTCATAAACCCGAGAGGCCCAAGTTGTTAAACGGGAAGAGGCAGGACTTCCAGGATAACCGGTGTGTGTGTGTGTGTGTGTGTGTGTGTGAAGGTGAGGCCTTGGGAGGCTTGCACAGGCCAGGCATGAATTGCAGGAGGAACTGGGAGGGCAAAGCATAGGTGAGAGGTGCTGCAGGCAGGGAAAAGTGGCAACCACTGATGACGTTCTCTGCTGTCTTCCCCATTGATTTAGCCTATGGAAAGCTGGCAAGGATGGTCAAAAATGGTATCAAATTGTGATTGGTTACAGAGTGCCTGATCACACGACCACAGGGTTGCTGTGATGGCTGGAACCTTGAGGACTTCTCAAATGTCCATTTTTTTCAGGGCTGCCATAACTGAACATGATAGATTTAAAGTAGGCATTTTTAAAAATTACAATAAAACTATCCCCCAATTGAAAACCTTTCAACCAAAGCACAAGAGTTTAAATGAGATTACAAGATAGATCTGGAAGAGGAAAAAACAACAACAGAATGTCACTTGTCCTTTTCAGTTCCCTCTCAAAGCTAATCCTCCAATATAGCAAGTTGTAAGGAGTTGTAATGGTATTTGTGGGGCGGGGGGTGGGGGAACGCTGCCTAGGGAACTGTCAGATGAGGGACAGCGTAGCCCACAGCTGCATAGCGGTCAGAACAAATGGCTCAGAAGGGACCAACCCACCCCAAGTCAGGCTGTAAAAGGTGACGGTGGGACAATCTATAGACTTTCAGTGGGACAAATGTATTTTCTGATTTGCAAGGTTCTGTTAATGTAGCTTTACAATTAAGTAGAAGTATTGATTTATCTGATCATCTTTCTTGGCTGATCTACCTGGCAAGGCTGAGAGCAACACCCTGTTATGTTTTACATTAGGCAAGCCAGTCAGTCTCTATACAAAAGAAACACATTTCTGATGTAAAGGTGGCAACACACTCAAACTACTGGCAGAATGATCCCCCCTCCCCCCCGGCTACTCCGTCACTGATCTCATGGTAGCAATCCCCGAGAAAAAGGATTCCAAGTCTGTTCTTAAACTCGGCAGATTTCATACCATTTAATGTAGCTAAACTCACAGTGTCTTGAACTAATCAGTCAGCTTGGCTAGTTATGTCTGCTCCCTGCTGGTGTCTCTCTTTCACTGCTTCCCTTTTCCTCCTTGCTCCACATCTCAGCAAAGATGGTACCATTAAGGAAACCGGCAGGGTACCTAGAATTGTTAGCCCAGCTGCCTATGCTTTCTGGATCAAGGAAAGGGATTCATCCTTAAGCCGGGATGATGGTCCTGCTGCTATTTGTTCACCTTCCTCAAAAATCATGGCTAGATCTGACAATTTTGAATAACTTTTACTGGATCTCCAACCATTCCTGGCTGTGCTGATAGAAATGGATAGTCTGGATCCTTTTCTGTCAGGTTTCAGATGACTGAAATGAGATCAATTACATTTGTGGGTGATTCTAGCAAGAGTCAGATGGAGGTAGTGTCCCTCCTGAATCTCTTTATGTAATGAGTGGTAATGACCTTGGGAGGCGGGAGGCAGAACGGCAGACCCGACAACTGGCAGGTCAATGTTTTCTTAGATCACCAAAAGAAAAGGGGTGTGGGAAGCATCCCAGAAGGAACCCACTGGGTCCCTTTTCTGGGGAATGAAAGAAAAGGTCTTTGCGGAAACCTTACAATAAAGATATGGGGATGAGCTGCTGGTCCAGACTTCAAAGGACGAATGCTTTAACCTCTCAGTGTATCCTTCTGGCCTGGTTCCAGGTTTAGGAATGGGGGACCAGGTGGTGTGAAGGGGGAGGAAGGATCTGTCTGGAGCCTGTTTTCTGGGGGGCATCTCAGGGTCGGATGCTCTCCTCCCCTTCCCCTCATATATCTACCTGGCGCTAGTGACCCTCCGTTTTACCTCTCTGACCTGGAGCGGCCAGGAGGAGGAGAAACGGCCTGGGCTTCTGTGAAGGTCCGGACGGGGAAGAAGAGGCTTCAGCTTAACCCTCGCAAGACTGAGGGGTTCTGGGCTTGGGGGTCCCACCAGGGTTCCCACCTTTTGGGCCCAACGGGACTTTCCCAGAGAAAGGAAACGGGCGCGGCGCAGCAGCCACGGAGCGAAGGAGGGCGAGAGGACTCCTTCTCCTCTTCCTGGACTGGGAAGCGCTGCCCACCGTCAGCCTCCCGAGGGGGTCACGGTGCGCCTGGAAGCTGCTGTGGCCGCCTGGAGGGCAGCAGCCCCGGCCGTAATGAGCGTCCTGCGGAAGGGCTGGGGCGGCTGGGGGACCGGCCCCCTCCCCCGCTTCTCCCACCCCTCCCGCCACGGAACCGGAGAGCCCCTGTCCCGCCGGGCCCCCGCTTCCCCGGCGGCCTCCGCAAAAGGCTCCACGGGAGGCCAGCAACCGCAGGGCAGGCTGGCTGTGGAGGCCACTGGGCGGCTTGCCAGCCTGCCTCGCAAGCGGCCACCGCCCCGCCCGGAGCGACGCGCAGGGCTCTCGGCCGCCTCCCTTCTTCCCGCGCGCCTCCTCCTTGGCGAGCCCCCCCCTCGACTCACGCGGGCCTGGCCGCGGCGGGCTGCAGCTGCTCCCGCAGGTTGTTGCGCGGAAGGTCCGCCATGGCGGCGGAGGCTTCGGATGTCGCGCCTTCCCGGCCCGGCGGCGCCCGATTGGAGCCCGCCCGCCCTGCCCGCGGAAGTGACGTAGCACGCCTTCCGGAGACCACGCCCGTATTCTGGGTTTGAAGCCTTTATTAACCGCTGTGCGCGCAATGCGCCTGCGCCGCTGCCTAGCCGTCGAGCTCTGCCGGGGCTCCGTCTCGCCTCAGAGCAGGGGGACCGGAAAGGAGGCGCAGTCGGCCAGGCCGCACATGTTCTCCCCGCGCTCGATGTTGAAGTAGCTGCCGGGGCAAAGAAGAGCCTCATGAGCCCCCCTGAGCGCCCTGCCCGCTGACAAGAGCCGGGGCTGGTGCGGGGAGTCCCCGGGGGGCGCTGCCTGCATTACCCGTCCATGCCCCACTGGGGCCCCCAGGAGTTCTTCACGATCCAGAAGGGCTCGCCGTCCGCTTCCCCGTAGCCCACGGCCAGGACGGCGTGGTTCACTTTGTCCGGGGTTCGGTCGCACTCCGTGCTGTGAGGAGAGAGACGGAGCAGCGGTTGGAGAGCGAGTCAGGCTGAGTCAAAGCGGGAAAGGACCCTAGCGGCCCCTCGGGCACTTCAGAGAGAAGCGCGCAGAATCCGATCCAGATGCCCTCAAGGGAGTCTCGAAGCAGAAGCGAGAGGCGCCCTTGTTCTCCTTTCGCTGCTTACCTGGATCGTTTATTAGATGCAAAGGCAGAAAGGGAAACAAAGTCTCTGAATGGCAGCTATTTGGCTGGGGCAAAACTGGTTGGAATAGTGGCCGATTGCAAACTATGTGCCAGCAGCGCGATATGCATGCAAAAAGGGCAAATACAATTTTAAGATGAATCAACGTTAATCAACGGGTTTCTGCACAGGAACTTAAGGGTTGGGGCACCGCATTTTTAGGGAACAGTTTACACGACAGCAAGTTGCGTAGGAGCCTGGGAACAAAAATTATGAGGAAAAAATGAAGTATACAGGGTGAGTTTGAAAAAGAAGTGATGGGAGGGGGGAATATCATCTTCAAGTATCTGGAGATGTCAAGCCTTGTTCCTCCTATCCCAAAGGGCAATTGCATCACAGGGCAGATTGTGGATGGGGGGGGGGGTTGCAAAGGAAAAACAAGCAGGACCTTCGGCATCGCTGGCTGGGTGGGAACAGAGGCCAGGTGGCCACAGGTCAGAGGTACTTAGCAGGGCTCTTCCAGCTAAAGGGCTTGAGAGGATCAGTTCGTTTGCATGTGACTGAGAAGTTACAGGCTGATCAAAGAAAGTGAAGCAACAGGAGGAATAAAGTAATCCTGGAAGTGGTTCCTTTAGCAAGTAGCCAGAATCTAAGGCTGCCCAATGCCTCAAAGAAGTAAGTGTGGAGCCCGAAAGGGGCACTTCCCTTTCATGTGGACCTATTTCTAATGCCCCTGCCCAGCTGGCCAATTTGCTTGCCATCTCCCAATACAGCATGGGCCTGTTGAACTGTACTGGGTACCTGGGAGTTCTGCTGGGAACCTGAGGGGCCACGGAAGAAGGGCCGTTCTTGCAGGGGGTTGCCAGAGGGCCGTTGCTGGGAAGAGGCCGATTATGGGGCTTTTGAGCAGCAATCCTCTTGGCATGAAGCAAAGCAGGGTGCGCCAACAGGGACTCACCTGGTGTAAACCCCCTCCTGATAGTGTACAAAGTCCTCCTTCACTTCAAAGGCAATGCTCACTGGGTTGTATGTGCCCACCGCTTGCACCAGGCCTTGCTCATCATACTGGAAAGAAAGGGGCCCAGCATTACTGGGCAAGGGCCTCTGAGCATGTGCAGAAAGGGGACAGGGCTTCCCACCAGATTGCCAGAGGAGACCCAAGTGAGGAGGAGGCCATTTTCAAGCCTCTTAATCGCTTTCCAAAGGGCACTCCAGGAAGGGCTGCTTTGTGGGGCAGGAGGTGAAGGTGGGTCCCCCAAAGAGCAAAGGGCTGTTGGTTGCTGCTTGGCCTCTGCCAGTCACTCACCAGTGAAATGTTGACCACGTCTTTGATGAACGCCACGGCCTTCTGAGGCTGGAACTTGCAGGTGCCATTCTGCACATCACCAAAGGAGCCTTTTCAGACGGGGTTTCGGAGAAGAGGCAACTTGCCTCCCTCACCTTGGATCAGAACCCCCCCCCCCATACCTGAGCCTGATAAGGGTACCCCTCTTCTTCCATGAGTCCTTTGTTGTACAGGATGTATTCAAAAGCCTGGCTGGGGAGCCCCCTGTGGAGGGAAGGAACGGCCTCACCATGCGGACCCTTTACAAAGACCCCAGAGGCCAAAGCTCCCTGGGGTGGGGAGAGAGGAACTGGGGTGATGGGGGGGGCTCCCTGGGGGCCTCTCTTACCCACTGCAGCCAAAGTTGTTGAAGTTTTGAGCACAGTCAATCAGCTGCTGCTCTGCCTGAGAGAGGAGACAGGTTGAATCAAGACTGCCAGCCTGGGAAACTGTTTCAGGCCCAGGCAGCCTTCCTGTCTGTCTTCAGCAGCCACCTCCCTTACCTAGTGCCAGTTTCTTTCCTAGAGGCTGTGGGTTTTTGCAGCCGAGGCTGCTCCCAGCTCTTTGCCACTGTGTTTGGCACCAAGCAAGCTTGCCCTGTAGGGCCTGAGGCTGCCCACAGGAGCCTGGGCAGAGGAGCCAGAGTGTCCTGTGCCCACCGACCAAAGTAAAGCCTAGGATAAAAGCCAGGCTGCGTTCCCCTTGCTCCTCGGCAGACCCACTGGGGTGGAGGCAGTGGAAGTCAAGTGGTGAAGGCACCAGGTTAGACAGTGGGAGACAGAGTTCTAGTCCCACCATAACCATGAAAGGTGGCTATGTTACTTTGGACCAGTCACTCTCCCAGTCCATCAAACATCACTGGGTAGCTGAGGGGAAAATAAGGGGAGGAAGGCCTGTTGCCTTGAGTTGTCTGTAAACATCATGAAGGCAGCATATGAATGGCCAAGGTGGCGCAGTGGTTAAAAAAGCAGCACTGCAGGCTACTGCTAGATCAGCAGGTCAGCGGTTCAAATCTCACCGGCTCAGGGTTGACTCA